AACAAACAAGCAGAAAAAAAAGAAAAAAAAAGGAAAAAAATAGAAAAAGAAAAAGAAAAAGGGAGCTGAATGGATGGATGTAGAATACACCGACACCAAAATAGCAGGACAGAGCAATTAATGACCCCAAGGTCCCCAACCTTTCCATCTAGTTTCTTTTATGATCATTTGCCTGAGGTCAGAATTCTACTCGAAAAAGAAAAGTTCTGTGTTACTTGTGCCATTACACAATTTTTGACATCAGTCTATAATACTCTATATCAGGTTCATTGTGTTTGTGTACTCCTTGGTTTGCGATCTAGTGTTGTGCAAGCTAGAAATGTGGCCAGCTTTGGGGGATATCATCACTGTTGTGTTTCTAAGTTTTGTTTACCATAACGCATGCAGGTGGTTGATGGCTATCGCGGTGAAGCAGGGCGGTTCTACCTCAGTATAAGGTCAACAGGTAAGAACGCCCTAACAAAGCAAGCATAAATGACAGCCTGTGAAAGGAAGAAAAACAATAAAACCTATCTTCCCTCTCTTGCGATGCATAACGGAACCAGACATGTTTCATATCGGTTTGCTATGAGAATAGAAAGGCTGGTTACCGCTGGTAGTCCAAGGCTGTCTTTTCAAAAACAAGAAAAAGAATAGAAACTTATAGAAAGCCTTTGCCAAACCTGATGGGAATCGATGCCAGACCACCTGTTGCATGGAATTGATCTAAGCTTAGTTTTTTTCTTGCTGGTGCAACAAACCATCCGTTATCATCCATCGGAGCTTTTTTTATTCCGTCCCACCACACAATTGGCGACATCAAAGACTCACCTCAGCACAAGATCAGAAGATATTGAAGTCCAAAGCAAGAAGATTCACCGACGAGAAAGATGGAATTGGCAGGAGTTTAAAAGCCCCCTTCCCACCAGATTACTCCAACCTCCAAAAACCACAGACTTGAATTTATCCAAATGAAACACAGCCTCAAGTTGCCTCCATCAGTCTTCACTGACCTCCATACCTAAGCGCTGGCTCAAGTCTCCCTTCTTGGCTCCAGTAGTCCTGAACTTGGTTGGCACCATGTGCTCAATGTCTCCACTTCCACACCTCTATGATCCTCCTATAGTGACTGCATATACGCGTTACGGATGGGGGAAACTCGCATCATCGTCAGCATGAGGAAAAGAGCAAAGAAATCTTCATCCAGCTAGGGCACCAGCCGGGCCGCCCGGGTCACATAATTTTCCCGGGCGGCCCGGCCGTGCAAGGTCCAAAGTGGGTCCCAAAAAAAAAAAAAAAAAACCCTGAAAACAACTATGTTATGCAGAAAAATAAACTGAACAACTTTTGCCTCAGGGTCACATCAGAAAAATTCTCCACCGAATTGCAAAAAAAAAAAAAAAGTTCAAAAACATTAAAAAATATATATATATATTTTCAAATTCTTTTGGCCCGGCCGAGCAAGTGGTCCCGGGCCACTCTGGTAGCCTAGCCATCCAGCAGTGGAAAAAGCCAATACTTCTCGAAGGCAGCAAGTACTGGCCGGACTGTGCGAGTGTGGAAAGAGGCAGCCTAGCATTTTCTGTGAAAAGATTGCTGAGTGTCTGAGTGTCAAAAGTTCATGCTTTGCATGCGCCAATCACTCACAAACGTTGGCATGTCTAAACTTCTTCACCATTTTGAAAGTTTCAGTGACCATTGCCATGTTAGGTCCTTCACATATGTATTCAACACATGCTTTGTTTGTTGAGGAACAGATTTGGCGTACCCAGTTCCACACGGGCCCCGCAGGGCCCGAGAGTAGGGTTAGGGGTTTCGTAGGGTTTAGGGTCTGTGTCACCGGTAGGACCCAGTAGGCCACTATCTCGTTTTTGCCATCTTCCCACTTTTGTCATCGACCAGACCTATGCAAATTGGCACCAGACTTTTTGTATTTTCGCCTGGTTCCTACTTTTGGCATGGACCAGACCTCTGCAAATTGGCGCCAGACTTTTCGTATTTTCGCCTGGTGCCTACTTTTGCCATTTTTCGTTTTGGCGCCAGAACAGACTTCTGTTCTTGGCGCCAGACCAGTTTTCCTTAAGACCAGACTGTTTCCTTTCGGCCTAGGACACTGGGCCCAGCGTATATATAGCTGGGTCGACCTCATTTCTAGGCAGGTAGTTCTTGAGGTAGTTCAGAGTAGCTCTCAGAGGCAGCTCTGAGACAGTAGCGAGTAATCTTCAGTAGTCGACGTGCTGGGCACAGTTAGAGTAGTCTACAGCGCTGGGCGCGAGCTAGGAGTTGGAGCGCTGCCGCTGCACTACAGCGAGAGGGAGAGAGAGTGCAAGATGAGTGGAGGCCAGGAGGACTTACCTGCGACTTACCTGTGATGCCATAGCTCCAGCTTCGTCTTCGAGATGTCCGCACCTGCATCAAGGCAGCACCTTTGTGCAGGTTAGTACCTGGTGTACATGCAGTGTGTGTGTGAGAGAGAGAGGATTGCTTTTCTTCGTCTTTCCCTCTGTCTGATCTCCATCGCCATTCCCCCTTCCCTCCAGGTCTTCTTCTTCTACTCCTGTTGAGAGAGAGAGAGAGAGAGAGAGAGAGAGAGAGAGAGAGAGAGAGAGAGAGAGAGAGAGAGAGAGAGAGAGAGAGAGAGAGAGAGAGAG